AACCTCAAAATTTAAAATTATTTCGATTTGATCCCTCATCAATGTGTGTTGTTTAATTTATTTAAATTTTTATTTGTAATTTCATATTTGTTCAATTTAGTCCTCCAAATTTTATTTGCATCTAAAATTGACCCATACTTATTACTTATTTTTATTTTTTAATTGGTCCATAACTTTTTTAAATGGGTATAATTTAGTACTTTTTTGTATTAATTTCAACCTCACAATTTAAAATTATTTCTATTTGATCCCTCATCAATGTGTGTTGTTTAATTTATTTAAATTTTTATTTGTAATTTCGTATTTGTTCAATTTAGTCCTCTAAATTTTATTTGCATATGAAATTGATCCATACTTATTACTTATTTCTATTTTTTAATTGGCCCATAACTTTTTAAATGGGTATAATTTAGTACTTTTTTATATTAATTTCAACCTCACAATTTAAAATTATTTTGATTTCATCCCTCATCAATGTGTGTTGTTTAATTTATTTAAACTTTTATTTGTAATTTCATATTTGTTCAATTTAAGAATGTTCAATTTAATTCTTAAATTTGTATTTTTCATAAAATTGAACCATGATTATTTATATTCTTAGTAATTTACTCTAAATCATATATAATTACAAATTGCAATTCAACATTTGCGAAAGACGAAAATAATTAATCCAAAAATAAAAATTAATCCGATTTGAACTCAACCCAATCTGATAGAGATCCGACCTGAATTTTATCTGCCAATGATGTGACCCGATCTGAACGAGATCCGCCTGAAGACCATCCGAACTTGAATTAACCTGCTTTTTAACTACTTCGAACCTGAACTGTTTTGACTTGAACTGACATCGATCCGAACTGAAAGTAACCCGACCTGAACCCGAACTGTAGCTGGTGTCAAATCAACTTGAAAATGATCCGACCAGATTTGACATGGATCCGACCTGATCCGAGTTGAAGCATCAAATTTACGTGACTTGACTTGTATCCGATTTTACCCGACCTGTTAGGATCCGATTGAAACTGAACGATTACCCGATTTTACAACCCTAGTGCCAAGCTCTTGAGGAAGATGATGAATACTTTGTGCGTCTTTTTCTTATTTTATTCATATATATATTCACTCTTAGGTGGCGTTTGGTTCGCATGAAACCCTTAGAATTAGGGGGAATTGGAATCCAATTCCACCACTTTCCCATGTTTGGTTCAAGTTTTCCAAGGGAATTGGAATCCCTCATGGCTTCAACTTTCCATCAAATGAGGGAAAGTGAATTCCATCCATTCTATGATGGAATTCAATTCCCTTGTTGGAGGGAATTGAAATTTGATCATACTACACTCATCAATCTTTCGGTAACTTATTCATATATTGAATAAAAATATTTTTTTTATTATTTCGGGTCGGGTCGGTTTCTAATTCATATATTCGGGTCGGGTCGGGTGAAACTTTATTTTGGTCGGGTCGGGTTGGTTTTTTTAAGTGTGGTATTCGGGGTCGGGTCGAGTTCGGGTTTAGGGTGAAAAATACCCGACCTGAAAATATATATAATTTTACCTTATATATTTAGGAATAATTACAATAATAATCCTCTATATATAATTTTTTTCAATTAAGTCACTGTTTTTATTGAATAAAAATAATTTTTTTATTATTTCGGGTCGGGTCGGGTGAAACTTTATTTTGGTCGGGTCGGGTCGGGTTTTTTAAGTGTGATATTCGGGTCGGGTCGGGTTCGGGTTTAGGGTGAAAAATACCTGACCCGACCCAAAAAATATATAATTTTACCTTATATATTTAAGAATAATTACAATAATACCCCTATATATATATATATTTTCAATTAAGTCATTGTTTTTATTTAATAAAAATAATTTTTTTATTATTTCGGGTCGGGTTTCTAATTCATATATTCGGGTCGGGTCGGGTAAAACTTTATTTTGGTCGGGTCGGGTAAAACTTTATTTTGGTCAGGTCGGGTCTCAGATGGAGGTTCCCTTGTTCTCGGGTCGGGTCGGGTGGACCAAAAACCCGACCCATGGCCATCCCTAATTGGGATGATTTTAACTTATGATGTTTATTAGCATGATTTTTATAATTTATTGAAATGAATAATCAATCAATAAAATTAAAATTTAATTTTTTAAAAATTTTTATAATATATTGCTACATGTAATTTATAAAACAAACTAAAATTAAGCAAAAAAAATAATAAGGGCAATCTTGTCATTTTACATTACTGAAATCAAATTCATCTGACATGTCTGCGAACCAAACAGAATATGAAATTGAATTCCAATTCAATTCCTGCCAACTAAACAAAATATGGAATTGGATTACAATTCCTGACAGATTTCAATTCCTTCACAGATTCCAATTCCCTCAGAAACATTCCAGCGAACCAAACGCCACGTAAATTACACATTTAGTATCTTAATTATCACTTTTGTTTCGTTTTGATTTTTAAAATCATACATAATATTACGTTTTCGGTTTCATTATGGTCTCCAACTGTTAAAAAACTAACATAACTGTTGATGTTGTAATTTTATTTATTTTTTCATTGGTGACATGGCATTATTTTATGATGACATGTCAACATTATTGTTATTTTTAACGACAAATGAGCAAAATGAAACTAAAACTAAACGTTAGATATGATTTAAAAAAACAGTTGGGTGGCTAAAATAAAATGAAAGCGATAATTAGATACTAAGCATGTAGTTTACCCTAAAAAACTCTAAATTACTTCAAATCCAATGAGTGGAAATGAAGATAAAATTTGCATCAAAATTTAATGGTTCATGTTTATTGCTTGTGCTAGTATCCATAATTTAATAGGATAAATGGGTTAATAAAGACAACTTTTTCTTTATTTTCGCTGTTACTCAAATGTATTTTTTCTTCTTCCAATTGAAACATTAATCTTCTAAAAAAAATTATTACACGTGACTTAAATTTTTACAATTTCTCTAATTATTATTTATCTTTAAAGAAATCGTAAAACTAGTCCTAAAAAAATTCTTGGGTGTTACACGAATCACCTTGGCCGTATCCACGCAACTTTTTTTTTTCATTTCCAAGTTTGGAAAATGGTTAAATCACTTTAAGTGTCCCTAAACCCCTCAATTTCACAAAAAGGACAAAGAGGTTACCAAGAGATCAATTTGGTCCTCGAAATACCACTTCAAACTTCTAACTCTAATTTTAGGTTGTGACAATGGAGTTTCAAAGGAATTTATTGTTACGGAATTTTGTTAGAGATATTGGAGAAATGCAAGAGGAGTTTTGTTGCAATGAGTTTTCAGTTGCGTGGAATAATTCTTAATCGATCAAGTAATACTTCAACATATGTTACATAAGAATTGAAGTTGTTGAAGATTCAAAGATCAATTTTCTAATGAAATTTGTGTCAACAGAGATTGTTATATATTGATTCAAATTCTAATTGAAAATTAAGTTGAATTTTGTTGTAATTATATTGGTTGAAGATTACTTGATAATTAAGTTTACTTAATGAAGAATTCTTATGAAATAAAGATTCTTGGTGACTCTATAAATAGAGAGTATGTCATAACCTATAGAATAATGAAAGAGAATTGTTTTGGAGATATATAATCCTTTTGTAGTCTTTGTAATTTTCATAATTTAAGTTACAAAGTGAGTTTTGTATGAATGTTGGAAGACTATTTCGGGATACATGAGGTTTTGATATATTTATTAGAATATTATGTATTTGTATTCTTTGTGATCTCTATGTTTATAATGGATTATTTGTTTCTCTCGTTCGTAGAGGTAGATAAGACTAAATCATGTTAAATCTCGTCTCTTACATGTGTCTTATTTTATGTTGATTTTATTTCCTTTATTTTCCTTTTTTTTATAAATTCCTAACATAATGTTATGTGTTATGATATACTATTATATGTTCGAGAAACAACACAGTTAAATCACATATATTTTTTGTTCTTGATAAGGAGTGACACGTACATGAGATATTTTGGTTTATATTATCTTGATATGTGTAATGTTTAGCAAGTAAATTTATGGATTTTTAGTATTAAAACCATATGCATGTCATGTTTGGATTAAATTACTCAACGTGTCAAAATTTGATTTAGAATTTATTTTATTAACACGGCATGTGAAAGTTGCCAAAATATATAGTATAATATAAGCATAAGCATGTTTTAATTTTGTAAAGTAATATTTTGAGTTGAGAATAGCATCAAAATACTTTTTAAGAACAAAGGGTAAAATTATTTAACATAAGCAATTTTGATGTGGAAGGACAAGCAACCCAATTATCAAGCCCTAACATAGTAGAGTCAATGCAACATCGAAGGTAAGCCTGTGGAAGGTACATTTGTTTGCTCCTAACGTGTTACCAACAAATCTCCTAGAGTCAGTCCCTCTGAAATTTTTGAAATTTTCCTATATTTTAAATTTTTATGCATATTTTCTATTGATTACAATTTTCGTCCCCTAAAATTTTATAAGTTCGTTCTCCTCTAAAACTTTTTAAATTTACCCTCCTAACACAACTTTGCGCCCGTCCACGTGGCCAACAAGACTTTGCTTGAAAAAACAAAAACTACACTTGTTTAGTTCATTTTGCTCTCAAGTATAAAATTCTTGTAGCCATGGATTAATATTTAAGAATTTTGGCTGAATTCAAGAAATTTAATTAGGTCTCTCCACAGTTAGTGCATTAGAGGGTTACATATAAATACATTTATACATTAAAAATCCTTCAGGAACCCACAATGGCTTCTGGAGAAACTATAGTTCCATTATCAAAGCTACAATTACTATACAGAAGTTCAGGCACAACTTACTTGACTTCTCTTGGCAACCTCTAGATTCTCGGAAACCGCTGCAGTTAAATTAGGATCTTCAAACCCAAGCTCGGTACCCAGTCTGCGGTGAGGTAGGATTTGAAAGAGTGGATTCAGCAAAAGAGAAAAGGAAAAGGAAAATGAAGAAGTAACATGTCGGAAAAGCTGAGCAGTTATGGGGAGGGTAAGCTCTAGAACTGAATGGCCTAGTGTTTCACCCTGACTCCCATAGTTTGGCAAAATCGAATGCCTAATTGCACTTGCACTTCTAAAAGGAAAATGGTCAGCTAGGGTGATGACCATTTTCTCTGTCCCCAATAAGACCAAAGTGAAATGCTAACATAGAGACCATGATGATAAATTAAAATTTACTTACTTTGGATCAGCACCATTTTCTGAACTTCTTTAATAGCCCAACTAGCTGCATATAATGAGATCTTCCCCACCTGATTGAAAATGATGGTAAAGTTTGTGATTTAAAGTCCATGAACTTCACAAACACACGAAAAAGAAGCTCTGAATACTTTTGGGGAGAATTTTATTAGGCTGACCTCCAAAATTTGAAGTTTTCCATCACGGTCATTTGGAAGACAGCGGATATCTTCAGCCATTCTTACAGCCTCCCCCACACTTTCCGGAAATAAGAAGTCATCCTAACTGAACATTCGACTGAAAGTTCAACAAGGAAATAAGTCAATTTTAGTATGGCTATAATCCAAATAATAAACTTCTAAATGAGATAAAATCATTAACTTAAATACAGTAAAAGTTGAGTTTATCAAGTCTCGCCGATCTCAGCCTACTAATTCAAAAAGATACAGATTAAACACTTAAATTCATTTTTTTCCCATTTAAATTCCATAATAATGCACCATCCCTGGAAGGAATTATTGTTCCATAACTTTAAATTAGATACAACAGAAATTATGTCCAGAGTTTATGAACAACGTGACCTTTATTTTATACAACACCAGGCCATAATTGTTTGTCTGTCGGCAGAGTTAATTTCAAACATTGTTATATTGGACATATTCAATGACCACAAACACCAACAAACATGGAAGGTTATTTATCAGAGAGACCTACCTGAAGGTTCCTCACTTGGAAAGGGCAACCAGCAGGGAGAAAGACAGCTTGCCCCAAATGCTGTTCAAATGACCATGGCACCACTCCTGTAAACGAAAAGGACCAACTTCATCATCTTCTATACTAATGATTATATAATAGCAACGAAAAGAAAATATTGATATTTCACTGCATTAAAAATTAGAATAAGATTTTCCAGGAAAACTTGTTTTAACCCAGAACTCCAATTTAATCTTATAAACTTTTCACAGAAGTAGGGGAAAACTTGTTTTAACCCAAACTCCAATTTAATATACTATAAAATTGGTCTAAAAACATTTTACAGAAGAAGGTTGTCATCTTATCCTCACCAAATTCTTGCCTAAGTTTTCTCTTATGATGCTCATTCAGGTACATCACTTCATCATACGGAGGACACGTCACCTAAAATTGAGAATAGAAAATCATCAACATGGGTTTTTATACAATGTCTTAAAGATGTAGCTTCTACAACTAAGAGCATAAACATACAGAACCACTTTCAGCGTTTTCAGGCTTCCCGAAATCCTTCCAATGCTTTTGCATATACTCAGTTAACTTCGGAACATCCTGTCTACGAAAGACATCCCAACTAGCTCCCGCTTTAGGATTTCCTATCACATCCCTGCTATCCCCATTTAACTGTTCAAAATTCACAAGTTTCTCTGCAATCGTTGTTGTTTCAGTTTCTTGATCCTCATGTACATCAGATGTGCTCTTGTGTTCATCATCCATATCAGGTCCATCAATAGATAAAACACATAACCCTTTTTCATCTGACCTTGTGTTCGGATCCCCCAAGGACTCATTTACCTCAGATTCCCCATTGGTTTTGTGTATATCCCCTTTTGTTTTCTGACCAATTACCTTCACTTCATTTGTATGAACCAACAAATACACCTGAAAAACAATTCAAGTCAATGAGTACACTTCAACACAGAAGATTCAGATTTGATTTTAATCATTATGAAAAAGCCTAGGAGGTACCCAGACTTCTTTAATGTGTCAATAGAAAATTCATTGTCTCTTTCAGATGAAAACATTTAAGCTAGAATTATACAAAAAGAGGCCTTGATCTTGCAAGTATGATAGATTGGAATTGCAGCAAGATGATACCAAAAACCAAAGTCTTATTCAAGCATTAAATTCCAGCATAAAACACAGATTAATCCTTCGATACACTTTTGAGACAAAAATAAAAACATATAACATTTCTGATACAACTAATCATTGTAATAATCAATCAACAGGATTTTATTTTCTTCTTTTTCGTTTAAAAATTCTGCACAAAATGTAGTCAGGGACAGGGAAAATGCATCTTACCATATCTCGCATTTTGAAATGGAGATTGGTTACTGAATTCCCTCTATCAAGTTCTTCATAGGTCCCGTAAGATAAATAAATATTAGGTCCAGCATCATTTTGCAAGGAATAATGGGGCAATTTTGCAGCGTCATTTAGGAGACCCAACCTAGAATGAATGAACTCAAGTAAAGGGAGTTTACTAATAAACTCGGGTCTCTGGTACATCAGAAACTCTTCTGAAGCACTGGGAGAAGGCCAATCTTTTAACTTCAACATTTCCAAGGACCCATTTTCATGTGTCCGTCCCTCTGTGTATAACCTGACATCATTTCAAACCCGACGTGGATATATAAGAAGAATGCGACACATAATTTCAATCAAATTACAGACATATCAAAATCACACATATAAGCAGGCAGCAGCATAGCGCCTACCTCCGACCAGTCTATGCAATTTATGGCTTTCACCATTCTGGTCTCATCTTTTATTTTCTCATCTGCCGTTTCCTGAATTCCTCTCCATATAACCCGCAGATCCCTACTTGATATGGAAGAGCTGTCAAACACCTCTTTAACAATCACAGGTTCACCCTTGCTCCAATGCTTTCTAAAATCAGCAATCCCTTCTGCTTTAATATCTTGAGATGACAGGCAATATAAAATATTATCATCACAACCCTCTCTGTCAGCAAACTGACAAAGTCTGGGATTATTTAATTCAATCTTTTCTGAAGTCTCAACATCATAAACCTTACATCCACTAACCATTTCCTCTACATTTTTAACCATTTTTGCAATCCAATTCCTCTCCATATACCAGTCACAAAGATGGATGGACTGTTAAACAACATTCAATTCAATAATTTCATCTCATTTTCGGATAATGAGATTTCGTCTAAAGAAAATGATCGAATTAAAGCGTTAAACATCACTACCTATCGTAAGGGGCACGTCATACCGAGTGTGTTAATCGAAAATGTTTCATCCCTGAACATAATGCCTTTAGTTAGACTAAAAAGACTGCCAATAGATACTTCTCACATGAGAATCTACCAGAACGTAATTCGAGTATTTGATGAGACCAAAAGGAAGGTGATTAACAAGATTGAGGTGTCGTTAACCATCAGACCTGTCACCTATAATATTAAATTTTTAGTAATGAACAACATGTCTTCCTACAATTGTCTTTTGGAAAGACATTGGATTCATCAAGCTAGTGCAGTACCATCCACACTGCATCAAAAAGTTAAGTTTATTATCGATAGAGCCCTGGTAATTATTAATGCTAGGGATTTAAATAGCGTTTGCGGTCGTGCTTTCGGTCGCGTCGCGTTTATCGCGGTTGCGAACATAACGGATGCCATCGCGGTTACTGCGGATGTCGCGATCGTGAATTTTCTTAAAGTTCTCACCACTTATCCTAAACTATAATAATTATAATTATAATTTTAAAAAATCATTTTAATGATTTTTAGAATGTTTTCTAAACGAAAAATAACATATATATAATATAGTTTAATCAAATATTAAACTCAGTGATAAGATACGATAATTAATTAATAATAACATTGTGAATATATTATTATTTAAAAGAAATAAGACTATCAACATAGGAAAAACTCAAAAAAATAAAATATATAAAAATAAATTACCCGTTATTATTCATTTACCAAAATCAACATATTATAACTTAAAACTTATAAAATTAAAAATAACACATTATTTATTTTTTTAAAAACCTATAACATAAGTAAAAAAATATCAAATCCAAAAAATAATTAATTTATTAGGTCTGTTTTGGTTCAAACCTATAACATTAAAAGTAAAAAATTAATAAACTTATTATTGGGCCTGTTTTGGTCCAAGCCTAAAACATTAAAAGTAAAAAATAATTATTTAAAACATAAAATATAACTAAAAAATTATTAAATCCCTTCTTCTGTATCGTGAGTGAGAGGGGAGGTAGAAACGCAGAGCAAATATTGTGAAAATATAGATTTTTTTTTGTTAAAATTCGTCCATTTTCTTCTTTATTTTTTCATGTTTTTAACTTTTCTTTGCTTGCTAGCTTGATTCCTACCAAAAATACCCAAAAAATCTTACTTTGTTGTTGTATGTTACAGTTATGGATGTTTTTCCCTCCAGTAAGAGGGCTAGCGAGCTTGATACGCAATTCTCACCCACAAAGTTTCATTCCCAGTTGGTAAGGCTAAGAGATAATATGGTATTTCCGTCTTTGAATTGCCTGTAAAAAAAAGAAAAATACCATTTTTTGAAGTAACTGTGTTGTTGGTGATGTTTGGTGTTGTAACGGGGATTAACGGGAAAAACGGTCTATTATAGCCGCGATCGACCGTTACTCGTTAAATTGCGGCTGTTATCGGCCGTTATAGGTTTGATTCCGTTTCACACTGTGATTTTGGCTGATATCGATAACGGGAGCCACCGATACCGTAATATAACGGCCGTTATACCGTTACACGATTGTTTTTTGAATCCCTGATTAACGCTGAAGAATATATCGTGGCGAGTGTGACCACGGATGCTCCATACATTGAAGTAGATGAAGAGGCGGTAGAATGTTCATTCTTCTCCTTATAATTTGTGAATGCCACATTTATGGCTGAAGGAAGAAATATTCTTAAGCCCCGACTTTCCAAGTGTACTAGAATGAAGATCAGGTAGACTTTGGGAAGAGGTGTCAAGACAGGAAGAGGGTTTGGGAAGCTGCTGCAAGGAATGATTAATCCATTCATTCCTATAT